GTCTTTGTTTGGTTTTTGTAAAGCAATAATTCTGGTTCCAATTTTTAAAATTAACGTGATTGTTTTCAGTTCTAATTATTAATAGAAGTCTGTTATGAGGAGCACTCACTTGGTAGTAAATACTTTGGGATTAAATATTGCATTCCCATTAGAAACATGAGCTTATTGAAATCTTCCATCGTATCGCTGCGTGTTGATGTGTTGATTATCGATTCGATGGCAAGGTTTGTCTGTACAATATGTTAGTAAGATATTGATAAGAATGAGGGGTCTGTTCCATATCCATTTATATTATGTGTCGTAATAAAAGAGAGTTTAGAAGAAAAAAAATATTTAGAGTAGTCGATGTAGTTATTTTGTCTAAAATATAATGACGGGACATTAAAATATTTTAAATGTATAAAATATTGTTTTTCTCTAGCCACTTAGTTGACTCCTTAAAGTTCATGTAGAAGCGTCGACATCAAGATCCATATTATTAGCGGGATTCCTTCTAAAAAGAAGGCTGATTTGAATAAAAAAAGTTGCTATGTAATTAAACAAGTGGTCTGACTTGGAATGGTGTGAGTTGTTGCGATATGTACCTATCACGTGGTTATCATTAATACCTGCCATCGATAGAAATTTAAAATTTTACAAACCCTTAAAAAAATACTTTTTAAATAAAGATTTTAAAAGCTGTCCTAAAAATTTGAAAATTTTTTCAAGTATGAAATGGCAGAAGCATATTTGAGATTAGTTTCACATTTAGGAAATCCAGCGTCTACATGAGCGGGAGGGGTAGGAACAGTTTGCATCCTATTTTTTTGAGGGGGTAGGGGGTAAGCTGCTTTAATGGGGGTAGGATGAAATTTTTGGGGGGTTATCTATTAAATTTTGAGATGAAATAGGACAAAATTTATTGCTGTAAAAATTAATACTTTTATTATAGAATTATTATAATACAATTATCGACCAAATCTATATATTGCAAACAATCATACACATTGTTTTCCAAATAAAACTTTCTGGTATCCTTTTAAATGGCAAGCTCATAATGGCATAATAATTAATTCATTGTAAATAATGCAGGTTTTGATTGAATTTATTATCTAAAAAATAAATTCTTTATAATATCAAAATTAGTTGGTAGAGATAAATTAATTTAAGTTATCTTTATAAATTCTCTGAAAAGAGTATCAATATAATTATAAAGGTCAAAATAAAAATAAAGATACACCGCCGCCGAAGGCGGCGAGGATTTTTTAGGGGGGTAGGCAAAAGTTTTTGAAGGGGGTTTGCATCCAATGAAAATCCTGGAAATCTATGCAGTTAATATTCAGCAGAATATTCTTTATTAATAAAGATTCACATAATCATGCTACAGCTCTATTCATCTCTAAAAATTTATTATAAATTTTATGGCGCTATTGCTAAAAATATTAAATGTTCAAATAATACTCTAATTAATATAAATGAAGCAGATATTTTTATAAAACAATTTTATAATATTTACAATCAAACTTTGATTTTAATAACTCTATTTACAAATGTATAAATATGACCTTGGAACAGAAACCGTCAATTGATGGTCTTTGTAATTTAATAATTAAATTAAAAATACCGAAAGTCATTGATTTCTTGTTTGAGGAGATTGTAATTCTCTCTATTTTTTATGATTCGCCAGAAAACTTAAAGTTAGATTGTCTAAAAGCAGAGGAGAAACGGGTAGAATTTTTTCGTAATAACAATAAATCCCCATGCTAGGGAAAAAATTCCGAGTATGTCTTCTCCTTACCTCATTCTAATGCCTCATCCGAGCGCATTTTTAGCCTGATGAGGACTACCTGGAAAACCGATTGCTTTAACAACATTAGAGGCCGAGCTAATAGTTAAACAAATTTATAATATGTCATGCCAGGAATTTTATAAATATCTCAATAAGAACGGTAAACGTTTAGTTCCATTATTTAAATCTCAAATAAAATATAATTAACATTATATTTAATTTTCCATATTTTTTATTTATACATTGGCATAAAATAAATATATTTTTTACATTGTAAATCAAATATAGAGAGCATTACAATATTCTCAAACAAGACATCAATGTCTATCGGTATTTTTAAAATATTTGAACATTTTAAGTTTTAGTAATGGCGTCATAAAATTTATTGTCAATTTTTAACTGTAAAGATTAACACATCTGCAGCATAATTTTGTGAATCTTTGTTAAGATTTTTCTGATTGCAACTGCACATTAACAGTATGTAGTAGATTTCCTACATGTGAAATCATTCCTAAATATACCTCTGCCATTCATTACTGAAAAAAATTTTCAAAATGTTAGGACAGCTTTTATAATCTTTATTTAAGAAATATTTAAAACTTTGGTTTTTTTCCAAATTCACTGAGGCATTATCAGATCAGAAAGTTGACATGCAATTTATTGATAATCCCGAATCTGCTATATTTACCATTATATGGTTAGCTATGTTTTTGGATTTTTCACTATTTGAGGGGAAATAATTTAATAGTTTTCTTGAAACGTCCTTAATTTTGTTGAAATAGCGAATGATCAAAAGAAACATTGTAATATTTTCCTTATTAGATGCATCTATTAGAATTGCATATGTATGCCCATCTTCCAAAACATCAAGAATTGATTTCCTGAATTCAGGTTCTAAAACATTGATGATATCCTTTCTCATTTTTGTTCTACAAGTAAAGTTTTCATTTATCTTGGAGTCGTTAAATATTATGGGGAAAGATTCTACCCACATTGTAATGATAAGTAGCTCTGTGAATGTTGTACTACAAGATAAGTGATTACAATTGCTGCAAATGTAGTTGCATCTATATTATTTCTTATTTTTGGAGAATATTTTTGTTTTGCAATGGATGTAGATACACTCTCTTCCACTGATTATAATAATGTGAATGAACAATAATAAATAAAATAATTATCATTGAAATGAGTACAGTATTACTTTATTATGTATTTAAACGTGATGCGTGATAATTAAGCGCCTATCCGTATAATGTTATACACACACAAGGTAGATTTCCAATTGCGGTTAATATTTTAATAAATCAAGATGTTATTTTATTAAACTAATAACAGAATTTATTATGTTGGATATATTGATAAAATAAAAACACTAAAAATCTTTGGAATAAATAATTATGTAAATATATTGAAACCTGGAGTTATTTACACGGCAATGCCATATTAGAAATGAAACATTTTCTAACTATAAAATAAGGACCAGAATGATATGATGAAACAATTAAGATTTTATATATTGTCGCACCACCTTATATTATATCTTAAAATAATAGTAGTTTGTAATAATATCAAAAATATACTTGTATTAAAAATTTAACTCAAGACTATTTTTCGAAAAAGAAAAAAATAGCTTTCCTTAAAACACGTAAAAAAAGAGAAGAAAAGATATCAAATTTATTACTTCTATTGCAGGATGAATAATAAAAGTTTGATTTTTAAAATTATTTATAACTATAAATACTTGAATGCAATTTGTTATTATATTTATCATCAAAACCATTTATTAGTAAAATTCATTATAATATTAACTTTAATATATTATATAACTGTCAAATACGTCTATAAAAGGGGCATTATATTTAATAATTTATAAACAACTGTATATAGTAGAGGATTATAAACTATATGTCTACTTACTTTTTATAAAGAAATCTTATGCTTATTTGGACCTTGAAAATATTTTTAAGGTATGATAATAAAATTTCAAAATAAATATACAGTTGATTAGTCATTTTGAATTCGGCTAATTACACTATTAAATTTGTTAATTTTTAAATTATATGATTATATTTATTTAATTAGGGTTAAATAATAATTTAAATAATAAAAGTCAATTAAATTTCAACTGTTAAAGCTAAATTAATATTAAGTGAGTTATTGATATTATATTTTTAATACAGAATTTGATTGTAAGCTGACATAGTGAAAATATAATTTATATGTATTAATCTAATCTAATAATTAAAATAATATTTATTTAATAAAAATTTAAATAGTCTTATTAATTTCTAAATAATATAATTATATCTATATATTACTTAATAGAATTATAAAAGAAATCATTCAGTGGGCAATCAAAAAAATTTATTTTTAGTTCAATTGGATATTAAGGAGCCATTAAAAAAAAATTTTTGCTTCAGGGGGATATTCAAATTTTTCAGGGGGCTCGAGCCCCTGCACGTTCCCCCCTAGCGACGCCACTGCAATTATCGATAAATTAGGATATTTTTTATCAAGGCCTTCGTTAACCTTTTTTTTATTGTTTGACTAATATATAAAAAATAAATAATTAAGAACATTTGAAAATATTAAAATATTATGTCCTTCGATATTGGAATGGATTCCAGATTCAAGATCCAAATATCGAAAAGGAATTATCGCGGGCGAATAAAATCTATTGAAATACAGGTCATAAAACGAAGAAATAAAGATATTTGAAAATTCAATTCAGTTTTATATATTTTTTAATTTGCATTGATATTGGTGGTATTAAATTTGTTACATTATTTTTAAAACATTATATAAATAAAGAATTTATTTATATTAATAATTAAAAAAATTTTTGTATTATTGTTTGATGATATATATAAAAAATTCCTTCTTCACACCACAAGTTTTAAGCAATACGTCACTGGTAATATGGTTTAATGATACTAATCCTAATAGACACTCCTATAAAATTCTACTATTTTAAGCTAACGCTTCAATTTTTAGGAGCGTTTTATTTGTTTTCCATCTTCTATATTATAAAAAAAATGAAAATAATACAATAAGAAAATGTAAAAGTAATTGTTAATTTTTTTAATTTTAGATAAACATTATTTTAGTCATAAAATTTACGTGAATTATAAATATTTTTATATATAATTTCTGTATATATTCATATTTATTTTGATTATGATGTCTATATGTATTTCATACTTTATAATTTTTAATCATATTTCAAAATTTAATATTTTTAAATAACCCGAGAAGCCAGGCATATTATCTGACTTTTATCATCCATAAACTATTATGTCAAAACGAGGTAATTTAAAAAATTATTAAACTTTTCATATTGATATAATATAGGACACGCTGGTTCTTCTGGGGCAAAATTTAGGATTTCTTTAGGATTGCCAGTTGGCGCCGTTATTAATTGTGCAGATAATACTGGTAAAAATTTAAACATCAACAATGTAACCTAAATTTTAATAGGGGCAAAAAATCTCTACATTATATCAGTTCATGGAATTAGAGGTAGGTTAAATCGTTTACCCTCTGCCTCAGTAGGAGATATGGTTATGGCAACAGTCAAAAAGGGAAAACCAGAGTTAAGAAAAAAAGGTTAATTTCTTATTTTATAATTAATTTCTCTAACTATTACATTTTAGTTATGCCCGCCGTTGTTATTAGACAAAGAAAACCCTATAGAAGGAAAGATGGTACATTTATATACTTTGAAGATAGTGCAGGTGTTATAGTTAACAACAAAGGAGAAATGAAAGGTAAATTATATAAATGAATGCACATACGTTAAAATATTATGTTTTTACATAATTATATATATCATGTGCTATATTGTACATTACTAGCAACCCATATTTTAAAATATATTTAACATTGGTACAATAGTAATTACAAAATCTATTTATACAGGTTCTGCAATTACTGGTCCAGTAGCTAAAGAATGTGCCGATTTATGGCCAAGGATTGCATCTAATGCTAGTAGTGTAGCCTAACTGATTATTTATAAAACCAATTATATGATATGTCAAATAAACTTATTTAAATGTCTATCTTTAATAACAAAGTTGCACATAATCATTTTGTTGAGTCTACTATGTTAATAGATAATATCATGCATAAAGTTTTAATATTTCTAAATTATGAGAATTATTATATATTAAATAATTAAACTATATATATTGCATAAAAAAGGTTCTATTAATTTTCAACATTTTTTTTATCTCCTTAAATTAATCCCTAGCAATTATTATGGCACCGATTTCATACTTTTGGACTAAGAATTATTTAAATTACTGAAAATTCAGTTTTGATAACCTAAGTTAAAGTATAGTGTTTTATATCCCAAAATATTGACACAAAACATAATGATAAAACTGGAACATGAATATATAGTATATGATCTATTATATTCTGATATGGATATATAACATTATGTTCTTACTATTTTATTAAGAACTCATCTTCCTCTAATGTAATTTTGTATTATACTATACATTTCAGGCTTTTAATTTTTTTTTATTTATATCTAGATTAGATTTAAAAACAAATTTTGAATAAGTAAATCAGACAACTGACTATGGAAGATGCTGATAATTTAAAAATCTGTGTTGAGCTATAATAGGGAATTTTAATGTTCATTTACTGCTAATATTTTCAAATTTCCCTTTTGAAACAATTTGCAAAATAATACATTTTACAATTTTGTGCAAGGAAATTGAGCAAAAACATTTGGGGTAAATTTTGATGGAATTTGAAAATATAAAAGTTTTAAATCTGGGTTGACCTAAAAATTTTGACCTCAGCATGTCTGATATGTATTCATAAAATTTTAAATGCTCATCAGATGTTTCTAATGAAAAAAATTTGTAATCTTTCATAATGGTATTGGAATATTCAGTTTATGAATTTTGGATGAATCATAAGGAAGGTACAAATTTTGGCATTATAAATTTTACAGATTAGAAAGATTTTTTAACGATTTTGAGCTAATAATGTGGCCTAAGGATTTTTTAAATAATTAAATTTTAGTATTCATAAAGTAATTTATAAACTTGAACCAAAAATGATTTAAAATTATATTTCAAAATATATATAATCTTCAAAATTAAATAAGTAAAATTATGAAATTAAATTTTTATTATGTTTAATGAAAAGAAGTAACACGCATAGTTATCAATAATAAAAAGCTAACTAGTTTGGCCATTAGAATTTTACTACGAAAGAAACTCATGATGATTTTTGCGTAGTATTTGTCTGGATTCAATATTTTAAAAATTCGTGGTGTAAGCTTCACCATATTGACATAGAACCCAAAGTTCAAGCACAAATTAGAATTATATTCCACACAATACCATAAGTAGTGTTGTTAAATGGTTCGTTTTGAGCCGATTTTTAAAAACGACTAACACAACTTAGAAAAATATTAAGCGAGTCTGAAGATTTTGTTCATAGAAAGATCGAAATCTCGATATTGGCAATATTCTTCTGGCTAAAATATTGAGTTAAAAAATTGGCTCAAAACAAGCCGTAACAACTAGTGTTGTTAAAAAGTCGAGTTCTTACGACTTGCGACTCGAGTCGTAGTCGTAAAAAACGGCTCCGACTCAAGCCGATCAAGGAGCCGCATGAGTCGGCTCACTTAGTGGGCTCAGAGGGTAGCTTGAGTTTATTTTAAATTTAGAGCCAAAAATTATTTTAAAGTTATTGAGAAATTTTAAATAATAATGTAGAATTTTATTTATTTATTTTTAGTAAAATAATTTATTTTATTTAATGCAAATAATATGTTTTGATTTGATTATAATAAAAATGGATTTATTTATTTGATTTTTTTTTAAATAAAAAAAAATTAATATTTTTGAGCTAAAAATTTTAAGAAAAAAATATTTTTGAAACATATTTTGCTGATTTTTTGAAGAAATTTTATTCTTTTGTTTTATCATAAAATTTTATTCTTTTTTTAATTATATCATAAATAAATAATCTTTTAGGTCAAATCTTCTATAGTTTTTTTTAAATTATTTTTATAAATATATCTATATTTTAAGTTTATTATTAGAGGTGGCTTTTTCTAAATATTTTTTTAATAAATATATTTATATTTTAAGAATATTAAAAGAGGTGGTTTTTCTAAATTATTTTTTTATTAATATTTATGTCAAACTTTTTTTTAATGCCGCAATTGTCATATGCGTTATTTTTTAAGATTTTTGGACACAAAAGGGTTATAATATAATTTATATTGTAAAGATATTATATTATAAATTCAATGAAGATGTTCCCTGGAAAAATGATAATTATCATAATGGGTAGGTATATTTTTGAACATATAAGATTTTTTTGTGACGCTAATGGGCAAAAATATGTTTCTTTAACAGGTAAAATTTAATGTAGATGTACCCTAGATAAATGACAATTGTCATAATAGTTATTTTTAAAGTTTTTTAAATTTTTTTGACGTAAATAGGCTAAAATAAGTACTGCTAACATGTCTAAATAAAACTTCAGTGAAGATGTACCCTAGAAAAGTAACAATTGTCATAATCGTTGTTTTTAAAGTTTTTCGAATTTTTTTGACGTAAATGGGTAAAAGCATTGCTAACATGTTAAAATAAAATTTTAGTGAAGATGTACGATAGATAAGTGACAATTGTCATAATCGTTGTTTTTAAAGTTTTTCGAATTTTTTTGACCTAAATGGGCTAAAATAAGCATTGCTAACATGTTTAGATAAAATTTAAGTGAAGATGTACCCTAGATAAGTGACAATTGTCATAATCGTTGTTTTTAAAGTTTTTCGAATTTTTTTGACGTAAATGAGCTAAAATAAGCATTGCTAACATATTTAAATAAAATTTTAGTGAAGATGTACGATAGATAAGTGACATTTGTCATAATCGTTGTTTTTAAAGTTTTTCGAATTTTTTTGACGTAAATGGGCTAAAATAAGCATTGCTAACATGTTTAAATAAAATTTTAGTGGAGATGTACCATAGATAAGTGACAATTGTCATAATCTTTGTCTTTAAAGTTTTTTGAATTTTTTTGTCGTAAATGGGCTAAAATAAGCATTGCTAACATGTTTAAATAAAATTTTAGTGGAGATGTACCATAGATAAGTGACAATTGTCATAATCGTTGATTTTAAAGTTTTTCGAATTTTTTTGACGTAATTGGGCTAAAATAAGCATTGCTAACATTATTAAATAAAATTTTAGTGGAGATGTACCATAGATAAGTGACAATTGTCATAATCGTTGTTTTTAAAGTTTTTCGAATTTTTTTGACGTAAATGGGCTAAAATAAGCATTGCTAACATGTTTAAATAAAATTTTAGTGAAGATGTACCCTAGATAAGTGACAATTGTCATAATCGTTGTTTTTAAAGTTTTTCGAATTTTTTTGACGTAAATGGGCTAAAATAAGCATTGCTAACATGTTTAAATAAAATTTAAGTGAAGATGTACCATAGATAAGTGACAATTGTCATAATCTTTGTCTTTAAAGTTTTTCGAATTTTTTTGACGTAAATGGGCTAAAATAAGCATTGCTAACATGTTTAAATAAAATTTAGTGGAGATGTACCATAGATAAGTGACAATTGTCATAATCTTTATCTTTAAAGTTTTTCGAATTTTTTTGACGTAAATGGGCTAAAATAAGCATTGCTAACATGTTTAAATAAAATTTTAGTGGAGATGTACCATAGATAAGTGACAATTGTCATAATCGTTGTTTTTAAAGTTTTTCGAATTTTTTTGACGTAAATGAGCTAAAATAAGCATTGCTAACATATTTAAATAAAATTTTAGTGAAGATGTACGATAGATAAGTGACAATTGTCATAATCTTTGTCTTTAAAGTTTTTTGAATTTTTTTGTCGTAAATGGGCTAAAATAAGCATTGCTAACATGTTTAAATAAAATTTTAGTGGAGATGTACCATAGATAAGTGACAATTGTCATAATCGTTGATTTTAAAGTTTTTCGAATTTTTTTGTCGTAAATGGGCTAAAATAAGCATTGCTAACATGTTTAAATAAAATTTTAGTGGAGATGTACCATAGATAAGTGACAATTGTCATAATCGTTGATTTTAAAGTTTTTCGAATTTTTTTGACGTAATTGGGCTAAAATAAGCATTGCTAGCATTATTAAATAAAATTTTAGTGGAGATGTACCATAGATAAGTGACAATTGTCATAATTGTTGTTTTTAAAGTTTTTCGAATTTTTTTGACGTAAATGGGCTAAAATAAGCATTGCTAACATGTTTAAATAAAATTTAAGTGAAGATGTACCATAGATAAGTGACAATTGTCATAATCTTTGTCTTTAAAGTTTTTCGAATTTTTTTGACGTAAATGGGCTAAAATAAGCATTGCTAACATGTTTAAATAAAATTTAGTGGAGATGTACCATAGATAAGTGACAATTGTCATAATCTTTATCTTTAAAGTTTTTCGAATTTTTTTGACGTAAATGGGCTAAAATAAGCATTGCTAACATGTTTAAATAAAATTTTAGTGGAGATGTACCATAGATAAGTGACAATTGTCATAATCGTTGTTTTTAAAGTTTTTCGAATTTTTTTGACGTAAATGAGCTAAAATAAGCATTGCTAACATATTTAAATAAAATTTTAGTGAAGATGTACGATAGATAAGTGACAATTGTCATAATCGTTGTTTTTAAAGTTTTTCGAATTTTTTTGACATAAATGGGCTAAAATAAGCATTGCTAACATGTTTAAATAAAATTTTAGTGGAGATGTACTATAGATAAGTGACAATTGTCATAATCTTTGTCTTTAAAGTTTTTTGAATTTTTTTGTCGTAAATGGGCTAAAATAAGCATTGCTAACATGTTTAAATAAAATTTTAGTGAAGATGTACCCTAGATAAGTGACAATTGTCATAATCGTTGTTTTTAAAATTTTTCGAATTTTTTTGACGTAAATGGGCTAAAATAAGCATTGCTAACATGTTTAAATAAAATTTTAGTGGAGATGTACCATAGATAAGTGACAATTGTCATAATCGTTGTTTTTAAAGTTTTTCGAATTTTTTTGACCTAAATGGGCTAAAATAAGCATTGCTAACATGTTTAAATAAAATTTAAGTGAA